TTGTCCAAAACAATATATATAATATATATATATATATATATATATATATATATATATATATATATATATACATACATACACATAAATTCCCTCCTCCTTTCATAAGCATATTTATGCTTTCATATGTTCTCAGCTTAATCATAAAGTGTTTGTTTTGGCATTTCGAGGGTTACTGCCCTCTAGTGGTGCCTCCTTAAACTAACCCAAAACCAAGTTATCTAGTAAAGCATGGTTGGATAAACTGTACACATGTAGTTAAAATCAAGATAAAGTATAGTTGTTCTTCTAAACTTTTTTTGTTTTGTTTGTCTCTCTCTTTCCTCTTCAGCAAAACATGCGTGAGAATAAAGAGAAACAAGCTCTGGGTGATCTGATGATAAAGCCAGTGCAGCGGATCCCACGATACGAGCTGCTAGTTAAGGTGACACTAAACTTCACCCTTTTATTTTTACATTTTTGTGCCCTTTTGTTTTTTATTGATAACATGTCTTATTTGTTTGGAACACATCAGGCAGAGCTGAATAATTAATAGAAATAAAATCTAAATTGCAATATAACTTGCAATTACCAAATCGCAAAAGACTGCATTTTATTTAAACATATGCACAGCGTGTTTGTAACTGCTAACTGTGTTCATTCACAGGCATGTAGCTTTTGAAAACGGTGATTTTCAGCAGCTCGGTTCACAGTAAATGCATCTCTGCATCATTGTGTCACTTATAATGTTCATTTGGGAATAAAATATGTGCCATCCATTTGAACAAATTTGTAATGAGAAACATTTATAAACCTAAATTTGAGATTTTCCCCTTAATGAAAGCTCAAAGATTTAATGTTTGAAATTAGGACATCAATTTTAATATTGTAATGTTACTGGTGTGCTGTAAAATAATATAATTATATTTTTAATCAAATACACTTTTTTTTTAATAATAGTAGTAGTAGTAGTAGTAGTAGTAATTAGGGCTGCACGATAAATCGAAATGGAATTGAAATCGCGATTCGACAGAAGCTGCGATTGTCATGCGTATCTTTCAGTGAAGCACGGTTCTGTGATCAGTAGTAAATCTCCATCCGAAGGCCAGAGGGCGCTCTCGCGCTGAAACTCCAAATACGCCTCGCAGAAAAAAACCAGGAAATCGTTCGCTGCAGCTGAATAAACAGAAGATTCAACTGCTTTCATTGATTCAATGTGACTAATAAACACACGATTATGACAATATATGGTTTATCGGTGTTATTATTATTATAATTTTCATTAAAATAAAGTATATTTATAATGCAATGCCTTTATCACGGCTTAAATACTATGAAATATGTTGCGTGCCTTATTCTGTGTAAGAAGCCACATCATCTCACAGAGGGATTTATTTCAAACGCTCGACTGACGTTATGAAGTGAGTTTGGAGTAAAAATATGTTATTAAATGTGGTATTTTCACATGCTTTCAGATGGAGCAGCATTTACTACACAGAGCCATAGTTCACTGACAAGCTACGCAAACAGCTGTCATTATCGCAAACGATTTCTTCGATTTCATAATCGTCCAATAAAATCGTCTGCGTCTTGTCAGAGAACTAAGGCTATGTGTAGTAAATGCTGCTCCATCTGAAAGCACGTGATGATTTACTGCTGATTACAGAACCGGCATTACTAACAAAATGCGCATGACAATCGCTTTCGATTAATCGTGCAGCCCTAGTAGTAATAATACACTATTGTTAGAGTACTTAATAAAAAATAATAGTTTTATTTTACAGTCTAACTGTAAAATTACAGTACTAAAATTGATGTAATAATTTCTATAAAATAAAAAAAAACAATAATCCTAATAATTATTTGTAATAGTCATATTGATAAATAACCATAAAATTACAAACAAGTACAGAAAAGCTGGAGCTCTTTAAAAAAAAATCACATTTTAAATCGCAATTTTTATCAGAAATAAATGCTATTTGATTTTTATCAAATCGATCAGCCCTGACTTGTTTTGTATGTGGTAACAGTTTAGCAGCTAGTTAAAGTCCTTCATATTTACTCATCTTGTCTCTTAATATTAATTGCCTTATAGTCTTATAGTCATTCTGCTATAAGATGCCGTCCTTGAATATCTAGGACTGAAACTTTACATTTTATAAGTGTTTGTTTAGGTACTAGCTGTAGTTTTGGTAATTTAGTTTTTAAATGAACCATTCTGTTTCTGTGCTTTAGGATCTTCTGAAACACACTCCTGAGGATCACCCCGACTACCTGTTCCTGCAGGATGCCCAGAAGAACATCAAGCGATTGGCTGAGAGGATCAACAAGGGCCGGCGCACCGCGGAGGAGCTGGAGAGAGAGACGCGTGTCATGCAGGAGATCGAAGCGCACATCGAGGGCGTGGAGCATGTGAGACCGACTACTTTGATTAAAAAAATGATTTTAAATCCATTTTTATTTCTTATTCATTTTATGATTTGTAAAGATTTTTTTCCAAATCACTTTTATGTAAAGCACTTGAAATTAGCTTTGTATATGAAATTTGCCATGTAAATAAACTAACGTTACCTTGCCTAATCCACTAGTAGTTGATTGTTGGATGACTAGTCAACCATTACATTTACTTATACATCGTAAAAATGCTTTTTTAATATTCTTCTTGTTTTCCAGTACACATATCTAAACATTCTTTAATCAAGATATATTTATTTGAGAAGCAAGATGACATTAAGTCTTGTTTTATGAAAAAAAACATCAAAATTAAAGGTGCAATGTGTAATATTTACATCGATCTATTGACAGAAATGCAATATAATATACATAACTATGTTTTCAGAGGTGTATAAAGACCTTACTTAATGAACCGTTATGTTTTTATTACCTTAGATTGAGCAATAATCTTCATACACCGCGCGTCCCCTTACATGGAAGTCGCCACCATGTTTCTACAGTAGCCCTAAATGGACAAACTGCTCTACTCGGACGAAACAGCGCGTTTCGTCACTTTGTTGTTCTTGCGAACAAAACACTGACACAATGATGAACAAGTACATTAATATTCGCAATAACATCGATTTATTGAATAATTAAGTAAATATAGTTCCTTAATTTACCTTTGTAAAGAAATCTCAGTGCTCTCTGCTGTCTTTACCAAGCGGCAACCTCCCGCGCTCTCTCGTGAAACCAACACGGAAGTGACTAAAACTGTAATTCATTGACTGGCCGCTAAAAGGGAGTCAATCCCATAGACTCCCCATGTTAAAATGCCCAACTTTACAGCAGAAAAAAACATGTTTACAGCCTGTATATAGCAAATTTTGCCCTTCATGACTACTGCGAGGGGGGTGAATTTTTTTTATAACTCATCCGTTTAAATTATATTAAGCCTTAAAGTTCTGCATAATTAAGGGCGTGGCCACTTGAGTGACAGGTGGACTGTCACCACCATCGAGCTAGGTGGGTGTGGTTTCAGCAGCCAGCTCCCGCCTTTTTGCCCATTTTTGATTACCCGGGAGTGATGCGCGGTGACGCGCTGCCAAGATGGTGACGGCCGGCTCCGCCCACTTTGAGCTTCAGAAACGCTCTTCAGGAACATATGGGTGACGTCACGGACACTACGTCCATGTTTTTATACAGTCTATGGTTTTTTTACCGACAACATCTTAGTCCTGTGTCGGCCACAGTAGCTTCTCTAAAGGGAGGGGTGAGCAGGTGACTGAGCCATTGGTTGCAATTTGCAACCTCACTGCTAGATGCTGCTAAAATATACACACTGCACCTTTAAGTGATTTTTTAAAATCAAGAAAAAAATCTTGTTTTCTCTTTGAATTAAGTTTATTTTTATGACCCCATTTGCAGATTGTTTTAAGCATAAACTCACTTAATTTTTATACATTTATACAAGACAAGACTTAATATTTTATGTCATTTTATGTTTAGATATTAGTACTGGTAGAAAAAGACAAAAATAGTAAGTAAGAAAATAATGTTTCACATTGACTAAATATGTACAAACAAAAACTAAATTGATTAAAAGAGATTTTTATTTCTTACGCATCTTTTGTGATTATTTTTTTAAATCCCTTTATGTAAAGCACTTTAAATTACCTTATAAATATACCTTGCCTTACTGTACGATATTAAGTCTTGTTTTGTGAAAAATGCATCAAAATAAGTAAATTTTTGCACAAAATATGTGTCAATGGAAAAAAGTTATTTTAAAAGATATTCTTATTGTTTTTCAGAAAACAAGGTTGAATATGTTAAGATATTTGTACTGGTGAAAAAGACACAATTACTGAGCAAGAACTTTTTTTCAGTGTATTTACAGTTTTGGGTCCAAATCTGATTAAATATGTTAGATTGATACCACACAAATATGTTACAGTAGTATGAAAACTAGTTTGCCTTCAGAAATACCTAATAATGTATTTTCCTGTCAGATCCTGAATCCGCAGAGGACGTTTCTAAGACAAGAGATGGTGGTGGAAGCGGTGAGCACAAATAAGCACAAGAAATCAAATCAGTTTAAGCAAATGTATCCTAGAGCTTCCTAAACCTCTGTCCTTCTCTGTGCTGTAGAAAACGGTGGGCGGTAAAAAAGACCGATCTCTGTTTCTGTTCAGCGATCTGCTCATCTGCACCACGCTAAAGAGAAAGTCTGGTTCTCTGCGCCGGAGCTCCATGAGTCTGTGAGTGCGGCTGTGCATTTGCAGTTTTCTTTTAATAGTCCAGAGATGTGAGAAGGGCCTGGGAAAACTGATGTTTGGTTTAGAAACCCCAGAGTCCCCTGAGCTCTTCTGTTCTGATGGCCAAAATAAATGCGGTTTATTTCTGAATAACACTGCGCTCTAGTGGACAGTCATGGAAACAGCACCTATATAGTCTGTTCCATGTGTCATTTAGCATATGCTTTTAACTGAAGTGACTTGCAGGACGCCTATTTCTGGGACAACAGTCAAAATATGGAAATGCATCACATTTCTGAAGGAAACTGCACCGTAAACACTCTTTCATGATTTGTTTAAAGGAGACATATTATGCCCCTGTATGTAATATAATATGTAATATAAGTCTCAGGTGTCCCCAGAATGTGTCTGTGTAGTTTCAGCTCAAAATACTCCACAGATTATTTATTATATCATTTTTAAAAGGCCTCTTTTGAGTGGAAGCAGAAACACGCTGTTTTTCGGGCCTGTTTCTTTAAATGCAAATGAGCTGCTGCTCCCCGCCCCCTTTTCCAGAATAGAGCTGTGCCCAGTGTTCAAACTATACCGTGGACTTCGGGGGAGCCCACTTGTTTTTTTTATAACGGGGGGGGCATGCCTCAAAAGAGGGCTTACAATGACTTACCAAGATACATAACAGCTACAAGTGTATGCACTACTTGCTTAATGCAAGCACTATATAGTATAAATCACTATACAGGATTTACCCTATTATGCTTTATCGACACGAATTAATAGGTGAAACAACAAACAGCCACCCACAAATAGTCTATAAACAAAGCATCAGGCTTTCTTTGAGTTCACATGAACAACGGTTAAAGTTACTCGTAAAATACCAAAAAAAACATAATTCCTCCGTTCAGTTTGGCATAAGACATCGCAGACCTATAACAACCCAGCCACAACACAGAATTGTGAATAGCATGCCTTACCTTAACACAGAATCAGCCACAGAGTCCAAGGTTTATATTTGTTCTACGAATCTTTGAGTTAACGTACTAAACATGAGTGGAATTTGCACCGCCGCGCCCCCACACCTTGATGCTCATGACAAGAACAGCATGTATAGTTATCTTTATTGAAGTGAATTAGGTTTAAATCGCCGTCATGCATGAATGAATGATATTTTTGCAATTTTACACATAATAATCCACGATGATCACATTACACAAAACTGAAATTGCATGTCAAAATAACACATTGTCAGTATTTTTGGAGACCCCCCAGAATTTCACAAATCACGTTTTCAGGGGAGCCCATGTCTTATTAAGGGGAGCCAAGCTCCCCCGTAGTTCGCACCCTGGCTGCGCCATTACAGCTGGGACCAGCTAAAACATCTGTTTTGGTTCTGATTATCATGTTTATCGAGCTGAAATCATGCGTTTTAAACCATATGAGTTTAAACTTCTGATATATGGTTTTCTGAGCGCACACATCCGAAGCGCACGGACAGAAAGCGGCCGGCTGTCACAGCATGCGAGTACTAAACTAAGTTCTCATTCACACACAAGTTTACGTTAAAAACACACGAGTTACAAAAAACAGTCAGTTATGTCTGTGAAGGTAAACAGCTGGGAAATAAATCGCATGTTTATTTTACATCTGTGTGGCAGCAGCAATATACAGTAAATAAATCAATAAATCCACTGCTCTCTTGTCTCCTCTGAAGCTGGGACTCTAAATAGTGTTCTGTGCTCGTCTGTGCAGCCAATTTGAACGAATACCATTTTTTAATTAAAACATGCAAACCTTTCAGCCTAAAGATGTTAATTAAATGCAATAGTAATTTTAGTATTGTTGAATGTATAAATGTGAAATATATTTAGGTTGTAATAATTACATTTTATTAGCTGAATCATGTCCACAACAAATAAGCAGATACAATAAATCAATTAAAATCACAACCTACGGATGTGAATGAGGGCTTACAATGACTTACAAAGATACATAACAGCTAAAAGTGTATGCACTACTTGCTTTATGCTAGCGCTATATAGGATAAATCACTATACAGGATTACCCTATTATACTTTATCAACACGAATTGATAGGTGAAACAACAAATAGTCTATAAACAAAGCATCAGGCTGTCTTTGAGTTCACATGAACAACGGTTAAAGTTACTCGTCGTCAGGCTACAGAAGAATACCATAATTCCTCAATTAGGCCTAAGACATCGAGAGTCACGCAGACCTATAACAACCCAGCCACAACAATTAATTGTGAATAACATGCCTTACCTTAACACAGAGTCGACCACAGAGTCCAACGTTTATATTTTTTCTACGAGTTAACATGTTAACATGTACTAAACATGAGTGGAATTTGCTACACCTTGATGCTCATGACAAGAATAGCATGTATAGTTTGAAGTGAATAAGTGAATTAGGTTTAAATCGCCTGGATTTTATCAAATGCCAACAGATTTAAAAAAAATCAAGCTAGTCCGTAGCGGTTTGGGTTCACAATGCATGTTTTTAGAGAATTTGGTCAATATCTGAGAACGAACTGTACTCAGACCACCTCCCGAGATGGTCTTGGCTCGGTTCGCTTTAAAGGGTCTGAGATCGTTCACATACGGGCCAAAAATTCTGCAAACCGTGCTCAGACCCCTTTAAAAGGACCAAGTTTGAAAACACTTAAAAAAATCAATTGTTTGACTTTGATAAAATATACGGTTTTCTGAGCGCACACATCTGAAGCACACACACAGAAAGCGGCTGTCACAGCGTGAGTACTAAACTAAGTTCTCATTCACACACAAGTTTGCGTTAAAAACCCTATGTTAAAAACACACGAGTTATAAAAACAGGTTATGCCTGAGTAGGTAAGCAGCTGGGAAATAAATCGCATGTTTATTTTAGATCTGTGTGGCAGCAGCAATATACAGTAAATAAATCCACTGCTCTCTTGTCTCCTCTGAAGCTGGGACTCTAAATAGTGTTCTGTGCTCGTCTGTGCAGCCAAACAGAACAGTTAGCATGTTTTGCTCAAACTTTGGCCATGGCATTAGAACTGATACACCGATGTCGCTTGCGAAATCAAAATGATGGTGCCCTGGGTGTAAACTTACAGATTAAGGGGCGGTAATGTTATAATGAGATCCCTTTGCCACGTCACCAAGGGAGCAAAATCAGACGCGCTCGTTTTCTCAGACGCTTGCAGAAAAAGGCTTCCCAAAACAAAGTTACTGGGTTCATCTTTTTCACGTTTCCTTGGTTGGTAGATGCACCGGGGACCTGATTATAGCACTTAAAACCTGGAAAAGTCAGATTTTCATGATATGTCACCTTTAAGAGTTTAACAGTGACCTTTCATGATGAACCCTGCACCGCATTTGAACCAGCAACCTTTCAGACACCAGACTAGAACTACAAGTCCACACTAACCGATGTTGGAAATATCCTTGACTGATGATTACATGTTCTCTCTGCTTCTCTTTCAGATACTCCGCTGCTAGTGTCATTGACACATCGAGTAAATACAAGTTCTTGTGGAAACTGCCCTTAGAAGACATTGAGGTGGTTAAAGGTAGTGTTATCAACTCACACAATCAGCATGATTTTCATGTTTGCCTTTTTTCTTTTTTTACATGGTCTTAAAAATTTTGATTCACATTGAGACACAAATTAAGAGCCCTTTCCTGAATTCCTTTAGGGCAACAAAATGTCCTAGAGTTATCTTTACCTTTTCTTATTTATTTATTTATTTATTTGAATTATCATTTAATTATTTAATTGTAATGTATTAATTTTGATGTTTTTTATTTTATGTGTTTATTTATTTATTTATTTGCCCCTTTCATGTTCTTTTCTGGTATTTATTTAATTTGATGTATTATTTGTATTATTTATATATTTAATTAATTAATTGTATGCATTATTTATTTCCCCCCTCTTTGCTATTACACTTAGTTGAACTTTGATGCTGTTTTACTGACCATTGTCATTTCTTCATCACAGGTTCCAATCAAGCCACTAACAGAGAAAACATCCAGAAAACCATCAGCCGTCTGGATGAAGATCTCAGCACGCTTGGCCAAATAAGCAAGCTGTCAGAAACACTCAGTTTCCCCCATCAGGTCTGTCTATCTGTGTCTTTATGATTTAGCATGCAATACTTATATCAGTTTCACTTGAACAGGTTTTTTTCTGACGGATTACATACCTGTTCTGATTGGTTGTAGACAGCAAGGGGGGAAATAATGGTGCATGCAAATAAATAAAATGCAACTTAACTACAAACCCAATTCCAAAAAAGTTGGGACACTGTACAAATTGTGAGTAAAAAAGGAATGGAATAATTTACAAATCTCATAAACTTATATTTTATTCACAATAGAATATAGATAACATCTCAAATGTTGAAAGTGAGACATTTTGAAATGTCATGCCAAATATTGGCTCATTTTGGATTTCATGAGAGCTACACATTCCAAAAAAGTTGGGACAGGTAGCAATAAGAGGCCGGAAAAGTTAAATGTACATATAAGGAACAGCTGGAGGACCAATTTGCAACTTATTAGGTCAATTGGCAACATGATTGGGTATAAAAAGAGCCTCTCAGAGTGGCAGTGTCTCTCAGAAGTCAAGATGGGCAGAGGATCACCAATTCCCCCAATGCTGCGGCGAAAAATAGTGGAGCAATATCAGAAAGGAGTTTCTCAGAGAAAAATTGCAAAGAGTTTGAAGTTATCATCATCTACAGTGCATAATATCATCCAAAGATTCAGAGAATCTGGAACAATCTCTGTGCATAAGGGTCAAGCCCGGAAAACCATACTGGATGCCCGTAATCTTCGGGCCCTTAGACGGCACTGCATCACATACAGGAATGCTACTGTAATGGAAATCACAACATGGGCTCAGGAATACTTCCAGAAAACATTGTCGGTGAACTCAATCCACCGTGCCATTCGCCGTTGCCGGCTAAAACTCTATAGGTCAAAAAAGAAGCCATATCTAAACATGATCCAGAAGCGCAGGCGTTTTCTCTGGGCCAAGGCTCATTTAAAATGGACTGTGGCAAAGTGAAAAACTGTTCTGTGGTCAGACGAATCAAAATTTGAAGTTCTTTTTGGAAAACTGGGACGCCATGTCATCCGGACTAAAGAGGACAAGGACAACCCAAGTTGTTAGCAGCGCTACGTTCAGAAGCCTGCATCTCTGATGGTATGGGGTTGCATGAGTGCATGTGGCATGGGCAGCTTACACATCTGGAAAGGCACCATCAATGCTGAAAGGTATATCCAAGTTCTAGAACAACATATGCTCCCATCCAGACGTCGTCTCTTTCAGGGAAGACCTTGCATTTTCCAACATGACAATGCCAGACCACATACTGCATCAATTACAACATCATGGCTGCGTAGAAGGATCCGGGTACTGAAAGGGCCAGCCTGCAGTCCAGATCTTTCACCCATAGAAAACATTTGGCGCATCATAAAGAGGAAGATGCGACAAAGAAGACCTAAGACAGTTGAGCAACTAGAAACCTGTATTAGACAAGAATGGGACAACATTCCTATTCCTAAACTTGAGCAACTTGTCTCCTCAGTCCCCAGACGTTTGCAGACTGTTATAAAAAGAAGAGGGGATGCCACACAGTGGTAAACATGGCCTTGTCCCAACTTTTTTGAGATGTGTTGATGCCATGAAATTTAAAATCAACTTATTTTCCATACATTTTCTCAGTTTAAACATTTGATATGTCATCTATGTTGTATTCTGAATAAAATATTGAAATTTGAAACTTCCACATCATTGCATTCTGATTTTATTCACAATTTGTACAGTGTCCCAACTATTTTGGAATTGGGTTTGTATATTTAATTTAGAATTTAGTGTTTGATAACTTTATTCAATTTCTGTACATTTCCTACTTGCTGAATGGGAACAGGTAAATATGACATCCATTATAATGGGCTTATGTGAAGATTGTTTTAAGTTTACTTAAATTAGAAGTTATTTTTTAAAGTCTAATAAATGTTAAAATTGATAGCTCTCAATTATACTGTAATGTTGAA